CGGGGGGCGGGGGGAGCCGGGCTGGGGCAGTTCCCCCCCCCCCAAGCCCCAGGGGAGAAGTGGGGGCGGGTCTCCCAGGCGGCCGAGGGCCGCACAGTCAAGTTCTTCAGCCCCTCTCGGCGCTTTGTTTCCCGTGGACCTACCGGGTGACTGGGGCGGGGGCTGCATGTTCCAAGGCTGCCGAGCCGGCCGCTCCCCCCAGTCACAGAGTCCTAGACCCGGAGAGCTGGAAGAGCCTTGCAGGGAATTCCCGTCTGGACGCTCCACGGTTTGTGAGAAAAAGAAAAAGCAGATTTTCTGTCCCGCGCTCGGTGTCTGCAAGAACCTTTCATTTGGCAGATGAAGAACTAACCACGGTATTTACCTTAGGAGTCTACAAACAATGAGTCCTTCACCCTCTGGGAGAAAACCACTGAACCACAGGCGCTCAATATTGTCTAGCACAGGGTTCTCAAACTTTGTGATACCACAACCCCCTAAAATGAATTCGTGTGACCCCACCCTGACTGCTTGGCTTTATACTTTCAGCGGACAGCATTTTCTGACAACAAATTGAAGCTGTTCTATTCCAGTAACAAAAACACTTGTGAAACCAAAAGATACGTCACTTTCATACTTTCTTGATTTAGGCCTATTTTTATCAGCAATATTGGTAGATTTTTCATCAGCTTTTCGCTTGCTTTACCACACAGAAAAACCTTTCCGTTGTAAGGCTAAAATTGCTGGGGAAAGAACAGATTAGGAACTATATAGAAAAGCTAAACATACACAAATCCATGGGCCCAGATTTAATGCATCCGAGGGTACTGAAGGAGTTGGCAATTATCATTGCAGAGCCTTTGGACATTATTTTTGAAAACTCATGGAGATCGGGAAAGATCCCAGATGATTGGAAAAAGGCAAATATAGTGCCCATCTTTAAAAAATAGAAGGACGATCCAGGGTACTACAGACTCATTAGCCTTACCTCAGTTCCTGGAAAAATCATGGAAGGGATCCTCCAGGAATCCATTTTGAAGCACTTGGAAGAGGGGAAAGTGATCAGGAATAGTCAACATGGATTCATGAAGGGCAAGTCATGCCTGACCAATCTGATTAGCTTCTATGATGACGTAACTGGCTCTGTGGATATGGAGAAGTCAGTGGATGTGATATACATTGACTTTAGCAAAGCTTTTGATATGGTCTCCTACAATATTAGGAAGAGCATTACCAGCAGATCTAGAGAAGTGATTATTCCCCTTTATTCAGCTCTGGTGAGGCCACATCTGGAATATTGTGTCCAGTTCTGAGCCCCCCACTATAGAAAGGATGTGGACGCATTGGAAAGGGTCTCGCGGAGGGCAACCAAAATGGTTAGGGGACTGGAGCACATAACCTAAGAGGAGAAACTGAGGGATTTGGGCTTGTTTAGTCTGCAGAAGCGAAGAGTGAGGGGGGATTTGATAGCAGCCTTTAACTTCCTGAAGGGCGGTTCCAAAGAGGATGGAGAAAGGCTGTTCTCAGTAGTGACGGGATGGCACAACAAGGAGCAATGGTCTCAAGTTATAATGGGGGAGGTCTAGGTTGGATGTTAGGAAAAACTATTTCACTGGGAGGGTGCTGAAGCATTGGAAAGGGTTGACTAGAGAAGTGGTGGAATCTCCATCCCTAGAGGTTTTTAAGTCTCGGCTTGACAAAGCCCTGGCTGGGTTGATCTAGTTGGGATTGGTCCTGTCTTGGGCAGGGGGCTGGACTTGATGACCTCCTGAGGTCTCTTTCTGCTTTATGATATGTGAGAAAAAGTTATAGAGCTTTACCAATTGTTTGTATATTTCAGTGTGGCCAGCCCGTGGCTCACAAGCTACATGCTGCGCTTTCATTAAAAAATTGTGGCTCCTGATGGTATTGCTCAGGCCGGCTTCTCTGCACAAGACTGCTCTCAGCGGGGCCGCTCTGAGCCGCGTTCCAGTGTGTGCTCGCAGCCCACCACTCTGCTTGCAGCCCCTCCCACTCCGCGCATGGCGTCCCAGCCAGTGCTTGCTCAAGGCCGGCCACTCAGCGCATGCACCCTAGCACCTGGAAGAAGACACACGTGGCGGTAGGCCTTAGGTTAGAGCGGGGCAGGGGGGGATCAGGTTGGAGTGGGGAGGCAGGGGGCTGGCTCTGGGGGAGGGGAGGGAAAGGGATGGGGGGATTGGGTGAGGGGGGAGTAGGCATTAGCTCCAAGTGCTCTGGAAGTGTGCAGCTGTCATGGGGAGCGAGGAGCAGAGCGCACGCTTCCTGAGCAGTTGGAGCTGGCACAGTCTTGGAACTCCCCCTCCCCACAGGCAGGAAGTAAGTTGCTGGTGTGCCACAGACCTAGATGTTCAGGAAATGTGCCGGCAGTCTGGGGGAATCAAGGCCAGCCACTCAACGCATGCACCCTAGCACCTGGAAGAAGACACAGACCTAGATGGGAGTTTTGGAGGGGTTGTTTTTTAGTATTTCACTTTTGTGGCCCCGACTATCTTTTCTGAAGGGTCAGTGACCCCTGACTCAAAACAGGTGCCCTGCCCCTTTCATAAATAAAGACAACACTGAAACATCTTGTGTTTGACATAATATTTTATTTAAGAATGAAGCCTGGCTAACAAGCCCCTAATTGGGGCCAAGCCCCACACCCACACCTGCACCCACACCCAGACCCCAAACCTGAGTCCATCATACACTGGAACCCCCTGTCCTGAGCCTCTCATATCCACAAACTCCTGCACCCCCACATCTCAAGTCTTCTGCCACAACACTCGTGCACCATCCACACACTGCAAATCTGTGTCCTGAGCCCATCATACTCCCAACCTCTCTGCCCCCTCACATCCACAAGCCTGCAGCTTGCTCAGCATAATAATCAAATCAAATAATAATAATAATAATAAAAATAAAAAAAATCCAACCCTCCACCTGACCCCAACACTGCAGCCTGGAGTCCCCTCAATGAGCCTTTTCTGCTTTCTCCTGCACCCAAATTCCTTCCCAGAACTTGCACCTCTCACCTCTTCCCACACCCAAATCCCTTATTCCCCCTCCAGAGCCCACATTGCCTGCTTCAACCCAGTGAGAGTGGCTCTTGTTCGAAAATGTTATTTTTATCATTATATTTTGTATACTATATATATCTGCATAACTTTAAATGAATTGCAGATATATGGGGCAGCTGGGACACGTAGCTTTTAAAGGGAGCAGCTTTTTTTTATTTTTTTTTTTTT